AAACTTCGGTTCTACCGCAAACAGGCTTTATCCCTAACTGCTGGAACGAATGTTTAACCCTACTCGGATAAAACACTTAACCGACCCGTGGTTTCGTGTCCGCCCGAACTACGTTCGCTCTGATCTTTCATACCAGATGAAAGTACGTAGGCACAAGACGCGATGTCTTGGCGAGCAACCTTCCCCCTTCTCTTTCGTAGTTATCCGAACTACGTTGACTCTGATCTTTCATACCAGATGAAAGTATGTAGGCACAAAGCTGCGACGCTCTGCCGAGTCTCTTTTCTTTTCTTTTCGTCCCGCAAGCTAGTAACGTAGATAGTTAAACACACCCTTTTAGATAACAAACAAGTGTGGATCCCGTCGAGTACGACAAAAGTGAGGGGTGCTAATACCTTCCCCTTGCGTAACCGACTCCCAAACCCAGGACTTGGTTGCGATGACCTTGTCTTTTCCCTTTTCATCAGGTTTTTCCGATCGTTTCCTTTCCCTCTCTTTGGGATAAATAACGCAAGGTGGCGACTCTTCTGTTTTCCGCCGGGTGTTTTTCGCAGTTGCGACAGCCTTCTGCACACAAAAAACCCCAAGCCTCACGCACCTTCAGTATCACAAACCATAATCCTCCACCTAGCCACTACAACTTTCCATATTACACAAACCATAATGATTCTCCATAAAGCCACAAACCAATTCGCATGACCCCATCAATTTCCAATAGACCTGCTGCAAAAAATGAAAGATGATGCACATAATGAGAACACAAAAAAAAAATAACACACCACAAATCATAACCATTCAACTTAACCCCACCCTGAAAAAACAAAAAATTCCAATCCGCGAATTTCACACAACAGACATAACAAAACCTGCGTCAAACAATCACAACAACATTCAATTTCTTGCAAAAATGAAATTTGTACGATTCAACCACGTCACAATCTCCAGCTCACCAATTCCTTGAACATTATTTCCACTTATACCCTCTGAATCTATCCTATAAGGATAACCTTTTTCACCTTCATTTAACAAGGTCCATAGAACCACTTTTACTCTGCCAAAATTCCCTTCGACCCACCTTTATAATCCCAACTATCCAACAACAACAACCCAATGCTAATCTTCACCCATCTCAACCCACAACCCATAATCAAACATAATCAGAGGAAAGAAGGAGTAGGAGAGAAAGATTGAGAATCGAACCACAAATTCAAAACCGCATCAAAAGAAAGAGGAGAAGAGAGAGTCTCAAACGAAAGCCAGCCTAAATCAAGATGAAACGAGATCCAAACCTGAGCCGAAAGCGAATCTGAAATCGTGAGAGAAGGAGAAGGTTGAAGACGACTTATCATTTGTTGTTTTTGTTGAATGTGAGTGGCATCTTCACTGATCTTGCCTTTTCATTGTTTTTCTTCAAACCTGGCCGTGTTTTTGTTTCTGATGTTTCAAGAATAGTGTCATGTTTATGTAAAATAAATGGATTCAAAAGTATATTCCCATGCTTATATTGATCCATCGTGGATCATTATTTGTTGGGTGATGGACTTGGAGCCCGTGTGATCCCAAGCTTTAGTTTCTTTTTAGTCTGCCCACCTTTTTTTGCCTTTCACACCCATGTTCTTTCATACCACCACCATGATCTCACATCTTCATTTTTATTCATATCATTTTTTTATGCTAAGAATAAATGGGCTTTTTGAAGCCTGTTTTGGTTTCTGTATTCATACATGTTCTCGGCTCCTCCTCCACCCCTCCCTATTTTGTTTCAATTAAAGTTTAATTTGTTTTGTTTTACTATTTCTAAATTCTTTTCTTAGATAGTTTTTTTAAGTATTTTACTATTAATTCTTATTTGATTATCTATAAGTTTTTTCAATTAATTCCACTTCTATTTTCTCGATTTCCATTTTATCGTTGGTCGATGAACATCTAAGAGTCGTGGATTTTCGATTTATCGATGAAAGTCCATGATTAGGATTAGACCATGTTCTTTTCTTACTCATCTCATTCCATTTCCTTTCATCTTAACTTCTTTTTTTGATTTTCATTTCAATCTATGAAGTCTTTAGTATCGTGAATGTTGGTTGATTGAGGTTATTTAACCTTCATTGTTTCAAATCTGTAGGTCGTGCTACGATTATTTAGAGCTATAGTCAACCCAATTCATCCGATTAATAACAATTTACAATTAATCATTAACCACTAACTTTAATTCTGTCAATATACTCTTACTTTATTTTTCCGTCAATATATCTTGTTTATATTATATTCTTGTTTATATTCATACTATTAATATTCATATCTTGTCATACTTATTCACCTTGTTCATACTATTAAAAAAACACTAAAAATATAGAAACCCTAAAAGACTCATTTGGTGGGTTGTTGGTTACTTTTCTGAGCAACAGATTATGGATTGTGTACATAAACCCTAGCATGGATATTTTTTGTCCGACTCTTGTTCTTGGCTTAGTTTAGGACACCTCACACACACGACTTCCTCTTGGGCTACCTGACAATGACCCCATTTATTTTGTGCAATCCCGTGTAACTTACATGTGCCCCGCTTCCATTCTGATGTACACACTTTACTTGCTTTATTTTGATTATGGTTTGTTTACTAGGAGCATCCCTAGGGACTAGCATATACTAAACCATTTTCAAACTAATTATCGATTCGTCGTCGAGCCATTTTCAAAACACCTTTATAAGTCGATTTCTCTTTAGCATCGCCATCAACCTAATGCACACACTCGCACCTTTCGTCGTGGTTTCGTTACTAGGAGCACCCCTATGGACTAGGATCGATTCAAACCTTTTCGCAAATCCTCAATTCGTCGTCGAGCCATTTTCAAATCAAACTTTTAAGTCGAGTGCCTTTTGCCTCGCAATCAATCTCTTCGTGTACAATCAAACCCTTGATCCAACATCAAGTGGATTTTCACAATCAAACTCAAAACACATAACAACTATCGAAACTCTTTTCAAAGTGAAAGTGAGGGGGATGGAGTCTTCAATCCTTTTCTTCAATTGTTTGGGTGCGAGTTCTCTTAATCGTGTGTGAGCAATTGACACCTCTAAAAACTTCTAACGCGATAACATTCAAACCATTTTTACAAGCACCCGTCGTTCAAAAACACTTAACAAATATCGAAACACAATTTCATTAAGGAGAAAGAGAGAGAGAGAGAGAGAGTCTTTGATTCACTCTCCCGATTACTTGGGTCTGAGGAGCCTTTCTTAAGCTTCAAGTAATCATCATCCAAGAAAAACACCCTTCCCTTTCTTTTGTGGTTGTATCCACGAACTACGAACACTCTGATTCTTTATTCTCGTCCGAATGAAGATACGTAGGCACAAGATTGCGATGATCTTGGCGAGCTACCTTTTTTCTTTTTTCATCATTTCCCGTCAAACTTTTCTTGCCTTTTCAAACCCATTTTCCGTAGTCGAACTACAAGCGCTCTGATTCCTCATTCTCGTCCGAATGAGCATACGTAGGCACAACGGACCCAATCCTTGGCGAGTACCCTAACCTAAAACCACTCATTTCCCCTTAGCATCGATTCCCTTTTACCGTACCTTTTCGCATTACCCGTTTAGAAGAAAACAAATAAGTTTAACTAACGTTCATCACAATTCGAATTAAGAGGTTCTCGTTGAGTACAACGGATGTGAGGGGGTGTTAATACCTTCCTCTCACGTAACCGACTCCCGAACCCAGAATGTGGTTACGATGACCATGTTCTTATCTCCTTAAAGGTTTTCTCGATATTTTCCTTTCCCTCTTTTGGGATAAATAAAGTTCGATGGCGACTATGTCGAACCATTTCTTCCGTGCCTTTTGTGCGAGAGTCATATTTTCGATTAGGTCTTTTTTTGAGGTGCGATAGCGGCAACTCAATCTTACGTTAACAGAACATTAACCTCAAGATTCAATGGGTAACAACAAGTCGTTGATTGGATATTTTTCGAATATTTCGCGATAATGTTGACCTTTAAAAATGAGGGTTGAGTTTTTTTATTTTAACTCTTAATGTTGTTCAATATTGAGAGTATGTGTCTCATGGAAAAAGATACAATATGAACTTCACCTATGTGAATTTCGAGATGGTATCGTCTCAAAGTGAGAGTTGGAGTTTCTCTCATAAAAAATTCATGAAATAGGAAAGCGTATGGCCATAAATAAGTGCTAAGCCAGAAATGTAGGCGAAGAACCTTAAAGAATGTATGTGAGGTAACGTCGGTCTATTCACAAGGATTAATGGTTTAAAAGCATTGCTACCTAACATTTCGATTAAACTTTGCGTTGTCTTTACTAAGGTTAAATTTTAAATCGAAAGATACTTAACTGTATTAACATTATTTGTTTCTCCTTCTCTGAAATTGGTCTTGTAATTATTAGAACAAGTGGAGTATTATTGTAAATTATTAATAATTAATAATATTAATTTTGTTCCAAAATGACAGAAAAATATTCAAATGAATATTAATTTTTGAATTTGAAAAGAAGTAACATTTCCTGAAGGATTGCTGCAGAATGAACATAGACAATGGTTGAAAACATGACAACTTTTAGTTATGTGTTGTTTCATAAAGAATCACAACTTTGTGAAACAATACATGCATAACCTATAATACCTCATTCGAAAATTCGAAAAATAATATCACAAACCTGAATATTACGTAAATTCAATATAAAATTAAATTATCATAAATATTACTATGTTTCAACTCTAAAATATACAACAGAGTGCTTAAAATATTTTTTTTAAAAAATAATATCATTCAGGATTCAGTCCCAAATCCGTTCACTTTAACGATATTTTAAACAATAATTCTACCAATAAGTTAATTACATAAAAACTTAGTGGCAAAGTAGTCCATCGTAGTATATAAAATAAAATTAAAACTACAAAATACATGATTTTCCCACAAACACTTCATATTTATATCTATATCTACATTCTCATAAGCATCATCAACTTCAAGTTGCATCAAAATCAGAACAAGTTCAAGAATTCATGAATCTTCTTTGAAAACCAACTCTTCTCATGATGGTGATGGTGATGGTGATCCTGGCTATGGATATGGGGAGGATAAAAATGCATCACCTGCGGGAACATCACCTCACCACCGTGAATCTTCGACAATCGTTTCGGGATCCGGCGATCTTTAGTGCCGGCATCGCTTGCCAAGATCATGTCGTTGCCGTAAGGGATCTGGCGGTGTTTGGTGCTGGCGTCGTTCGCCAAGATCATGTCGGTGCCGTAAGGAATCTGGCGGCGGTGGCCATGCCGGCAACGACGGTGAGATAAGGGGAAACCTAGCGGCAAAGGACGAAGTACATGGACGTGACGGTTGATTGGACGGAGATCGGCGAGGGTTACCGGAAGGTGTTCGATGGGGATGAGATTGAACGAAATGGTGTCGTATTGTTGGGGTTTGGAGCGCGTGGTGGATTCGGAAAGTGAGTTATGGAGATCGCGAGCGCGTGAGCGGGTGACAAAGAGGAAGAGTACAAGTGTGATGGAAACAAAGACTCTGGTTGCCATGGTGTAGTTTTTGGAAGTGGTGGAAATTTGGTGTTGAAATAAGGGAAATGGAGTATAAAATGTTAGAGTGGGGTGACTTTTTCAAAAGAGGGCAGAAGTTGCTTGCTTGTATTATACGACACCTTTATGTTTTTTTTCTGAAAGATGTACTATACGACAGCTGTGTATGACTTTGCTAGCATACTTTATTATGGTAGCAATTTTTCACTTTTTTTCAATTACAATTTATGACTGGAATGAAAGTAGATCCTCTCCTTTTGTTTATAGTTCAGCTGCAATCTGGACCATTTAATTAATTCACTTATTTATTTTTAAAATTTAATAAAAATGAAACGAAAGAGAGATAAAATTATTTAATTAAAAAATAATATATTAGAGTCAAAAATTTCTTTTGTATTTAAAAATATTTTAATCAAAATAAAAAATATTATTTTGTTTTTCTATTATTTATAAAAATATTTGAATTAAAAATAAATTTGTTCATGTTATTATTCAATTTTTGATAAATAGCTTCATTTCTCCGTTATATATAATTTCTATATAATTTCTATCGAATTTTAAGCTTAAGTTTGAAATTTTAAATATTTATATTGAATTATTTATACAAAAAGTGTGAATAAAAATAATTATTTTAATTTAGTATTTTAAAAAATGATAAATTATGATTGATAAAAATTTATTTTATATAGCTGATCAACATTATTAAAAATATTAATAATAATAAAAATATTAAATTGAAAAATAAAAGTTATATATTAAGTCATTAAAATTCAAATAAACTATTAAAACGTATAAAAACCTTGATAATAATAATTCAAAGAAAAATAAACCCTTATTAAAATTGTTAAACTTGTTGTGTTGTAATCATACTACATAGATATAAGAAAATAATAATTATTTTAATAACCATCAAAATTTAATTTCATATTATATTAAATATTTGAATAAAATGTATTTCATCTAATGATATACACCAATACTCTTTCAACAAAATAAATTTAAGCCCCGTATTAATGAGTGAAATGAAATTTATTAGAACATATATAAAACTATGAAGAGTGATTTATGTACTATTGTTATTTATAATAATCTCTATGTTTTATATTTTATTTAAAATTATTAATTTTTCAAAGGTAATAATCTCTATGTCATTTTTATATTTTTTATTTATAAATTTATTAATTAAGACAAAATTATGAGAATACGAAAGATTTAGGTAAAATAAGTGAACATCAAATTTGTTGCAAATTTGTGTCAATTTTATTTTTTTCAATGTTCCAATATGTTTAAATTTCAACATATGTCACTTAATATTAATAAGTATAAAATTTTGAAAAGGAAATGGTCCAATTTAATACAAACTCTAATCCTTACCTGTTCATACTCCTTTTCCTTCTCATAAACATTCATTGTATTAGAACTATTTATAAGTGATATTTTTGATGTGATTAAAATAAAAATTAAACACTTGAAAAAAATCTAATTAAGAGTGTAATAAATTTTTGTTTTATTAAACCCGTACATGTTAATTAATTCTAACTATTAATCATCGTAGCAATGACAAACATTAATTTACTAGATTATAAACATTTTCTATGCTACACCTAATACATACATATTGAACGATATAAAACATTTTTTATGTTAAAATAATATCGATTTATTATTATTTAAACAAATATCTATCATCGAGTGTACTTAGTTGGAGTATTTCAATGATTTTCTGAATTTTAATAGATGTAGCTGTTGCTTTTAATACAAAATGACATGTAATGAAATCTTATAAATAATACATAGCTAGATTTTTTTTTCCTGATTTACCCCTTTTTGAAATTTATATACTAACATATTTTATTTTTAAAAAAAATTATTCAAATGCTTTAATGTTGGAACGTGTTTGTCCACTGAATTAACAAATAAATAAATAAAATTTGTGCATAAAGATGTTCGTCCACTAAATTAATAAATATTTCAAAAAATTTATATAATAAAATAATTTAAAAAATGAAAAATATTTAAATACTCAAGTGTCCGTCAATTCAATGGACCAACACTTTCAAAAATAAATTTCGTACCGATGACATTAGGATATCTAAGTAATTTTTTTATAACAGAATAATTTATAATAAATTTAAAAAGGGAATTCAACAGTAAAAAAGTTACATAGCTATTGCAAAAGTACATATAATGAAGTCTCATAAATAGTACATAGCTATTGCAATTAATGCCTAGAAGAGTAGCAATACACACAAAATAAAGTTAATATATAAACAATTTGGATAAATTTAATGTAGGAATTGAATCATCTCCTATCAAAAGTTCTAACATCTATTTTATATCTAATTCAACAACTAAAAGATTTTAAGAGGAAAAAATTAAAGTTAAAATATATCTTAAATAGAAATCAATGAAATTGTTGCAGAGCAGGGAGCATGAGATATACAACTTGAGAGGAATCAAATCTTTTAATGTAATATTCATTTAAATTTTAATAAATGAAAATATCACAAAATTAACTTTGGATTATATTGTAAAAATTATAAACCGAACAAGTTAATCTAGATAAATTTGTTAAGAGAATTTGCAAGTAAGAATAAATTGTTTTAAAGATTAAAAATTTAAATTTCATAAGTGTCGCATCTCAAAAAATGGTAACAACCTTTTTGATAAACGCGAAAAACACATATTTGTCACTGAATTTTATTTATCCTAAAGAGGAAAAAGAAAATATCGATAAAATCTTTAGAGAGAGAACATAGTCATCGTAAACACATTTTGGGTTCGAGAGTCGGTTATATGAGGGGAACGTATTAGTACCCCCTCACGTCCGTTGTACTCAACGGAAACCTCTCAATTCGATTCATGATAAAGTTAGCTAAGATTCTTTGTTTTCTTCTAAGATGAATAATGCTAAGGGTAAGGTAAAATGATTTTTATGCTAAGGAGAAATGAATGATTTTTTATTAGGGTGCTCGCCAAGGATTGAGACCCTTGTACCTACGTATCTTCACTTGTAAGAAGTGAAAAATCAGAGCATCCATAGTTCAGAGGACTACGTGGAAAGAGGGAAGTTTGGTCGCTAGGATCTTGCAATTTCATGCCTACGTCTTCTCAACAGGTATGAGAAATCAGAGTGTCCGTAGTTCGGACTATGGTTGGTTGGTGTTTTTTATGGACGATTCTAATGTTCACATTTTAGCAGTTAGGTGTATTGCAGCTCGCTCATGAAGTCTTATGTGTTACATGTATTACGGCAGAATAGAAATAACATATCCTTTTGAGGAAGAATTTTGATCGCACAGAGGCGAAAAGTTGATTTAATGTGTTGATTGTTTATTTGGATGACAATTATTTGAATGCTTATGAAAGACTCCTTGGGTACAAATAATCGAGAAAGAGAATCGAAGACTCGACTCTCTCTTTTTTTCAACTTAGTTGTAAAAGGGTTTTGATATAGTTTAAGTATTTTAAGTGGATGGCGATTACTTGAATGCTTAAGAAAGGCTCATCGGGCACAAGTAATCGAGAGAGTGAATCGAAGACTTTACTCTCTCTCTTTTTCATCTAAGTGATTGAGAAAATAGCTTTTGATTTGTTTTTAAAAAAAGGTTTGATGTGAAGCGTATTATAAATCTTTTAGAGATGACGGTTGTAACACCATTTTCTACCCCACAAATATAATGGCAAATCAATCACATATATCAGAGTAAATATTAAACACAATAAAAATCACCTCAAAAGGCGTACATTTCTCAATAACTCAAATAAAAGTCAATGCTCCGTAAACAACGAGTTTTCCCAAAATTACTCAAAAATTGCTCAAAAGGCAGCAGAACTCAAAATGGAAAAATCCAAAGTTTTCCTTGCGCAGCAACATAATCAAAATAACCATAATCAATAAAATATGGTTTAACTCAAAAACCCAACCCAATGTTACACTATCAGAGCAAGACCCTATAAGTCAACCAAAGTCAAAAACTCCAAAAAGTCCTCGACGGCATCCACAACTAAACTTGGTCATCTGCACGTTACCCACATGGAGACAACATTCAAACAGGCAGGGTGAGTAAAACGATTCATAATAATCAATATAGGAATTAATATATAAAATAGCGTCATTTTCGTATTCAACATCATCATAATCATCAAGGAAACATCAAAAAGCCATAATATCATAAATTACACCAAATTGTCACATAAATGCAAATGCAACAAGACTCATGCATGTGGTACCAATTCATCAAAGTTCGATGGACATTGGGTCATTAACCCTCCATAGATCCCCATCAATAGGATCGATTTTACACAAGAACCGAAGCACAACAAAATACTTCACATCAGCACAATGGGACTGAAGTCACAAGAGTCAAACACTAGACCGAAGTCCGGAATTCATATGAATGCATGATGCACACATCAATATCATCCCCATAATAAACTCATTAGGTGTTGTTTATTGTGAATTTTGGTAAACAACCGCTGGTCTATCAATTCAGGGTAAAATTGAATAACTTGCAGGATCAACCATACTAAATCCTAGGACATGTGCTAAGTATGTAAAAAGACCCTAATCTGAACTCCACGTTCGACTGTGAAATCTTTGTAAAGTAAAAGTGACTTGAAGATTAAAAGCAATACGTAAAAGTGCAATAATGTAAATGCTTTGGAAGTAAATGTCGAAAGTAAATGCAGTAGTGTAAATGACTTTGAAAGTAAATGACTTTGAAGGTAAATGACTTGGAAAGTAAAGGATTTTGAAAGTAAAGGACTTTGAAGGTAAATGACTTTGAAGGTAAATGACTTTGAAAGTAAAGGACTTTGAAGGTAAATGATTTTGAAAGTAAAGAACTTTGAAAGTAAAGGACTTTAAAGGTAAATGACTTGGAAAGTAAAGGATTTTGAAAGTAAAGGACTTTGAAGGTAAATGTGCAAAAGACTCTAATCTGAACTCCACGTTCGACTATGAGATCCTTGAAAGTAAATGTGCAAAACGTTAAATT